GTCTGGCTTGCTGTCCAATATCAGTTCACAAGAATTTCGTCCTTTCTGACTTCTTGCAGCTCATCTCCAACTCAACTAGGATCTTGTATCTTGAGAAAGACCACTGTGATCAACTGTCTCCACACCTCAGGTCCACTTCCCATCTCAACCTTCTCAGCGTTATAACCCTCTACACAGCCCCAGTCACACAGCCATGAGCAGAATTCACCTCTCACAAACCTGACTTGGGAAGTGACTTTCCCAGAACTGTTCTGCTGCCTGCCTCTCATCAGAACCCTGGGAGGATTCATCAAGAATTAAGCATACAAAGATTTTCCCAATTAAGAATGTCCACACCCCAATTAAAGGCACAAATGGGTTCTCCCAGGGGTCCTGCTCTCATGCAGTACAATGCTCAGTGTTGATGGAAGACTCAGGTTTAAGTCAGCCAGGAAATGGCTTCCCACTGCTCTACGTCCTGATTGTTGACAGGAGGAAATTCTTGAAGTGCCCATTGGTGGATGTTTTGAGGCTTCTTATGTAGAGGAATGAGGTCTGAAGGGCCCTTAGCTCTCCAATACACCTGGAACACAAGAAGTACTTCTTGAAGAGGGTGAGGAAACAGTCCAGGAAATAACAGAGTTTACCTCCGAGCCAGGGCCCCTCAGCTCCCCAGGTGTCAAAAGTCTTGGGGCACTGTGTCCTCAGAGGGTGATCGGAGCCCAATGCTGGACATCATGGGAACCCTGGACTCTGCACTCACACCAATGGACAGTCTCATTGTCAGGGACAGAGGCCAAGAAACAAGAGCTAGATCTATCATAAGAGCCAAATTTATGCATTTTTTTCCCAGAGGGACACTAAGCTGTCTCCCCACACCATCCATCTAGGAAAAATAAAAATGGGACTGTCCTCGTGGGAAAGGTTTCCAAATACACATGAGAAGAGAACCCAGCTTTCTCTGGGGCTTCGTTTCCTTTAGCTTTGGCCGAAGGTGGTATAGCACTGGTCTGTGCGTTGCTGTACAGAGGTAACTCGTGGTTACAGTGATACTGAAGCCTGTGACAGTGATGTGCCAATCGTGGTAATGGGCACCCATGGTGGACAGTGTTGGCTGGAGCTTCCCGACTAAATCAAGCCTGGAAGCAGGAGC